CCCCAAAACCCCAAAACCCCAAAACCCCAAAACCCCAAAACCCCTAGAAATTTTTAATTTATTGAATTTGTACTATTTACTGTACCTAATAAAACCAATAATTAAAAATGGAAGTAAAATAATCCTCTGAAGGTTGTAAACGACTATGGGCTCCCACCAACCCTAATTTCTAAGTCTAAGGGACTTTCCAGTTTAGTTTGATTCTATTAAAAAGAGTTGTTTGTGTAGATAAGACAGTTCTTTGTTCTAATTCAAAAATATAATTAGAGCCTTCTATTAAAATGAAACATCTCTCTATCTTCACTTTGGATCTGCCTCAGATTTGCAGGTCTAGGTGGAGCCAAATCATCATCATCTTGACGAATAAATGCTATAGTCAGGTTAGAAATGATGGGAAGTAGAAAGGAAATTAAAATTCTAAGATTACTTTGGTGCTTTCTATAAATATATTTGTCAGATAAGTCTGCTCCTTCTTTAAGTAACGGAATATTTTGCTGAAGTTCAGGAACGGGTGATCTGGAATTACAACATATGTACCAAGAACAAACCATGCATAGTCAGAAACCTCATATGGCACCTAAAACGATGAGAATAATCACTAAGGTATTTCCTTCAAATCCAGGACTTGGCAATGCAACTAGACTAGCCTTATAAGGCATATGATTTCCATATAGCCCCATTCTCCCATTAGCTACATCATGATATACATAATAGTTCCTGAGGAAAGCATCCCCCAATATCACTGATCCTTTTACAATATTTTTCTCCTCTACCTGGAAATATCAAAACTTCTCGCCATTCTTATATGTAGTTGCAATATAACTGTGTGGAACTGCTTCATATTCATAATCTCCTAGATGAAAATATAAGGGGTCAAAGTCGTATGTAGAGTTTCAATATCACCCATAATAGACCCCAAATTTTCCAACCGTTCACTTCTGAGTTGCCATCTTGAGGAAGGATTTAAACATATTGGATTGCATCCCTATCAGAGACGAGCCTGTATCAAGAATTCCGTAAAATATATCTTTATTTTGCAGTTTTTGATTGCCCCATCTGATTCCACTAAGCATGCCTTTCCAATGACTTTTACCTGCAACTGGGATGAAAGTCATTGAGTTGATTCCTCCCTTGACAATGGTATGATCGATTCCTCCAAAAGTAATCTGCGATCTTGAGCCTGTGTCTGTGAATCTAACTCCAAAGGAATTTTCAGGAATAACACCTTCTTCGTATAGCTGAGTTACAAGTAATTTACCTCCTCCTAATTCTTTGTAGGACATACCGAGAATACCATCCCACTTTGATCCTTCATGACCAGGAAGGTTTGCACTTTTAATTTCAAGCATCTGAAAGTTGTCGACTGAGTCTGACTGGTCATTGGTCAGGGAAACTTTCCCTCTGACTTTGCTTCCTGTGACAGTTCCAGAGCCGTAAGTAATTTTCTTCACCCCCTCTTCATTGTCCTTTAAGTAAGAGTGCTCTAATGAGTCATCAGAAGGACACCCAGTTCAGATAGATGAGGGAGCCCAAAGCCAACTTGAGCCTGTATCAAAGATCATCTGAAGTCTATCTGGCTGAGGAGAATAGTCATCCCAAAAGTATAAATTTGCGAAGTAGATTAGATCTGCCTGGTTTGTCATTCCATGAATATGCATTGAAGGCTCAGGAGTATAATTAGGATTGTCATAGAAATACCCTAGCTCATTAAGGATCCTTCTATTATCTGGGTAAATCTTGGTTAAATTAACTGTTAGGGCACTTAAGGCTGATAAAAAGTTAAGTGTTACTACTATTCTTAGCATAACAGTCATTTCAGAAATTATTTAAATCAATATTTCTCATTATTTATGGGGTTTTGGGGTTTTGGGGTTTTGGGG